ATGACTATTTTTGTTGTAGTGTGTTCAACAAATTGAATTTATTAATTCTACTGAGATAGAACAATTCAAAGATTGGGTTATAATTAATTGAATTTCAACCATTGTGCAATCTTCTTTTATTTTATTTAAAAGTGATTTATATTTTATGTATGATGGTAATCCATTTTTCAACCTTCTCTTTTACCTTGTTAACACGTGATTATTAAATTGTATGTTTTCTCCATGCATTTCTGGATTCTGTTATGATTATCTTCAGGCAGTTCCTCCTGTGATACTCCAGGACATCAAATCATCCAATATTTTGATGGATCAATCTATGAGAGCCAGGCAGTTCACCGTGGAATTTCATACTCAGCATGGAATATATGCAGGAAGCTGATTTTGGGCTTTCAAGGGAAGAGATGTTAGCAAACATGCCTCCAATATTCGGGGAACTTCCGGATATTTGGATCCTGAATACATATCAACGCGCTCATTTACAAAGAAAAGTAATGTTTATAGCTATGGGGTGTTGCTATTTGAACTTGTTGCGGGAAGAAATCCACTCCAGGGTCTCATGGAGTATGTGGAACTAGTAAGTGGTCTTACCCTTCCTTTTCATTGGAAATTCAGTCCTATGAATCCAACAAGGAACTAAGTGTTTGTTTGGTAGTGTCTATAAGTGCTTATAAATTGTGGGCTCTACGAAATGTGTGGATAATATGTAAGTAGTAAGTTGTGGGTCTTTCGAATATGTGGATAAAAAATATGTATGATCAGCTTAAATTAAAATTTAAGCTTTGCCAAACATGCACTAGGATTGTGGGATGACATTAAGGCTTAAGCACAAGTACCTTTATGAAGTGGTACCTATTTGTTTCTCCAACGTTTGCTTTTTAGCGAGGTGGATCAATTTCATTTTTAGTACCTTTATCTTTTGGTTATTGGCGAATGTTCGAAGTGTCTAATTTTCATTGTTTTTACCCTGTTGAATAGTCTCGAGCATGTTTTATGCCAACATTGCATAACCAATTTGCTTTTTCTAATATTGGTACTTAATCATAATAGGCAGCGATGAATACTGAAGGAAAAGTGGGATGGGAAGAAATTGTAGACCCTCTTCTTGATGGGAAATTCGATGTCCAAGAACTCAATGAGGTGGCTGCTCTTGCATTCAAATGTGTCAATCGTATCCCAAGAAGAAGGTCATCGATGAGGGACACTGTGCAGGTGCTGTCTCTGATTCTTAAATCTAGGCACAATAGGAAACATAAAAAGGATTCCTCAAATGCTAGAGCAGACACCTATCTATCAACATAGTGTTAAGAATTGAGGTTTCATCTTAAAAGGTTAACCTTATTAAGATGAGTAACTCAATCCTTTATAAGTTTACTTATATTTACATCTTTATTCGATATTAGATTCTATCCCTTAATATTCCCAGCAAGATGGTGTCTCGTTTGATCAGACCAATCTTGAAATCCGTACGCTCACTTTTGGAGTCTTAATCGGATCGAATTGCTTGTTAGAGTTTAATGAACTATGATACCGTGTTAAAAATTTGGGTTCCATCTTAAAAGGTCAACCCTATTAA